GATCCAGAAATTCCGATTGAAGTAATCCGAATTCTGTTTAAGTCAACCAAACATCTTGTTAACTTAAACAGAATTTGGGTTACTTCAATCGGAATTTCTGGATCGTTCATAATTGACCAGATATTTGATTAATTCAACCAAACCTTTTTTTCCGTGTAGAATAGTGAAATAGAAAATAATTTATATAAAAAAAATGTTTTCCGATTATAGTTGAGAAATCCGTAGGATCTGGTTGCGCTATATAAACTAAGAATGCTGATCAAACACGTATGAACAGGCAGTGAAGAAAATTAATTAATTAATTATAATAGTATAATCTTTTCGTAAGCATGAGCGAAAGATAACATTACTAACCAACTGAAATTACTCGAGTATTGCCGGATTATCACAAAATGTCAAGGGGGTCAGGGGAAATCAGATGATGAGGTGTTCAGGTTTCATGTAGCTTACATGTACTGCAGGTATCTCGTAGAGAATAACTGTATAACATTTGGTCAAAGTTTTTAAGAGTTTATAGAGAACAGGCATTCCGTTATATATGTATAGATTTGTTGCGACAACTATATTTAGCCAAGTGGTGTTCCCACTGTTTTCTTTCTGTAGGCGCGTTTTCAAGATACCAGTCTCGCTAATATTCGTAAATTGTTAGAAAATCAATGATTAAGAGAAACAGCGAACACGAGATTCTTGACCTCTGTGTTGAGATACAAATGACACTTCGACACCCTCGGCTGTAGCCATCGCGCTTGTAGAAATGCAACTGAATTTAGACGAAAAGGAAAGGCACGCGGTAATCGATCCAGTCGCTCACATTAAAGCGATGTAAGAAAGCTTTACCTGTCGTACGTGTCAGGCGTGCTCGAAGACGAGCCGCTTGAATGTTCTTCACCTCGACCCAATGCTCTCGTGCAGCGAGACGAGCGTTCTCCGGCGCGAAGAGCCTGCGTGCCGCCGATTCCACCCTGTCGCGAGCGGATCGAAGTCGACCTTACCCCTCGGACGGCTTTTCCGGATCAGCGGTCGCTTCATACAGGTGACGGCGCGCCGACATCACAGAGCCGGCCACGAGCTCTCAGCGTTTCGTCACGTGTCGAAGTGCTCGTCTTTATGGTTGATTAATCGAGGCGACGTTGGCTCGTGCTGACGCCTCCGCTCTGCCACGCGTGCATCGTTCGCGGAGGGCCGGGAGGGGCACGTGGAAGCGCGAAGGGTGCGAGAGAGGTGGGTGGGCGCGGGGTGCACCGGGTGATGCATGAATGGAGGCCGCCGACGGCGGCGGCGGCGGCGGCGACGGTGGCGGCGATGGCGATGGCGGTGGTGATGGCGGTGGTGGAGAATCGACGACGGAACAGCGGCGTCGTTGTGTCTTCTTTCCTCTCTCTCTCGTCCTCGTTCCCCGACTCATCCCGTCTCCGTCTACCCTCCTATAACCCACCCGCCCCGCACCCCTACGTTTGACCTACGCGCAGAAGCGTCCGACGAGAGCGCAAGCAGAGCATAGACGTCGTCATCACCGGCGCGGTGGGGGAAAACGATGACGTCGTCGTGGCCGAGCGCGCAGTGACGGCATGAACGAATTGATGACGTAATTGTCATGCCGTTCGTTTCGAGTGGTCGAGTCTGCGCGACGGGACTCGAGATCGAAATCTCGCTGTCTGGATAGCGAGACAGGGGTGAGCGGGCCAGACGAGAAGCGTTTCCGTGTCAGCCTCGATCGCGACGCTGCGGCAAGTTTTAATTGAGTTCGCCATATTCGTATCGGAGGCGGATTTCGCGAAATCAGATTGGACATTAATGATTCAGCTCTAACTCGCGATGTGGCAGTATGCGTCGCGAATGTAGCCGATGTTCCAATAGAATTCTAATTTGGAGCGAGATTCTGCTCGAGACGCCTCGCTTCCGAGCGAGTGGCGGTTTCAAGATCCATTCTCAATGACGACGTTCAGTTTTTTCTTTACGTGAGTGCTTTACGACGCTCACCGCTGGGTGGGTATCGAAGGGAGCGCTGCGAGAGTGAACGAAAAAATCTGCGGTCCTCCATCGTGCTCGAGTGGAAAAATATAATCCAGCGAGTGGTCCGTTAGGCAACATCTAAGTCGGGACAATTAAGAAAAAAGAAAAAATGTAAATTCATTCCAGAATACCACACATATACTCTATATATTATGTGTCTGTGTGTATAAAAAATATTTCTCCAGTTAAATAAATTACTCTCGGAAATCTCTCACCGGGACATTTCTCAAAAGAAAGATAGAATGTTAAAAATTCTTTCCAGAATCTAACAATTTATTACAGGCACATTCAATTATCTCGCGAGACGAGCGGATCGCAGTATTGATTTTCTATCAATTTACCGAATATTAGCGAGACTGGTATCTTGAAAACGCGCCTACAGAGAAAAAACAGTGGAAACATTGGCTAAATATAGTTGTCACAACAAATCTATACATATAAAACGGAATGCCTGTTCTCTATAAACTCTTAAAGACTTTGACCAAAAAAAAATGTTATACAGTTACTCTGTACGAAATACCTGCAGTATATATAAGCTACATGAAACCTGAACGCCTCATGCAAAGGGAATACCCTTGGAATTCTCCCCCTTGTAATTACGCACGGGTTTCTCAGGTCTGAGAACATTGCGGACAAAATAGCGAAATACCGTGACATTCTTACGTGATAATTGCCGGCTATCGGTCGATTTTGCATTACAGGGTCGGTTGGATTGCGCGTCCCTAGGTCGTAGGTTAATAACGACAGCACACGTCTGCGCGCCTCCGATGCATTCCGGTGCATCGCTGCACGCACGAGCTGCGAGTATCGGGGTTCTCTCTCTCTCTCTCTCTCTCTCTCTCTCTCTCTCTCTCTCTCTCTC